GATGGCGGTTCGGTATTTTTGCCTGGAAAAACAAATTGCCTAGAATGTTGATTTTTTTGCTTTCATTGTTGGCTGGTGAAAAGCGGCAAACATTTTATTGGAGCAACAGTGTGTTTAATTAAAGAGACCCGGGTGGAAAATTGAGAGAGCGCTCGAGAGAGAGGGAGAATTGTGTGTTTTTGAGATTTTTTTTTGTTTGGGGGGAACTCTCTGTTGAATTTTGGCGCTGCCATTTTGGACTCTACTGCCTCAAAACTAATACGAACCATGAAAGGATTTTAGACTGGTTGACTTTAATATATTTTTTAAATGACTTTTTTAAGTACTATCCGACCAAGGATTTTCCATTTTTTAAGAATATTCTTTAAAGATTATTCGACTGGTTATCATGGACTTTTTAACGCATTCTTTTCAAGGACTGTCCGATTTGTTAACAAAAAAATGTAAGGATAATTTTAAGGACCTTGATGCCAATCTCGTGAAAAAGGTAAGAATATTTTCTAAGTTTATCAGAACAAAAATGTAAGGATTTTCAGAATTACAAAAGTAAATTTTGTGTTTGAATCAGAACACTTTTAGGAATTCTTACCATGGATATAAGTGCTACAAAACTGAATTTTCAAAAAATATTTTTGTGTGACCTGATTTTTAGAACTTTTTCGTCAATGACTCCCAGAGCAACCAATGAGGTTTTTAAAGGTATATTTGCAAAATTTTGAGATGAAATAAATTTTCAATGACCATCATTTCAGAGTACATATTATTTTATAAGTTTCTAAAGGATACTTTAAAGGACTTCCTGAAAGCAGAGCAACGAACACGATTTTCTGGACGTTTCTTGAAAATAATGTTTCAAGGACCAGTACAATAACGCATAGCATAAGCATCGATTTCGAAGAATATTTTTAACGCGCCTCTGATCTTTTAGTGAGACTTTATTTAAGAATTTAAGTGTGCATATTTTTCAGAAATACATAATTGGATTTTTTTGTATTTCTATAGGAATTTCTGAGCAATTAAAGTGGATTTTTAGAGAATATTATCTCAAGGACTCTCTGAAAAAAATAGATTTTTTGAAGGCTATATCTTCAAATGTCTTCTAAAATATTTACGCGCAATTTCTTCAAGGACCTTCTCAGCGTAGTTTTTTTGACAAATATTTTCCAAGGACTCATGTGCAAGTGATGTGCATTTTTAGAGGTTATTTATTCAAGGTCTCTCTGAATAATTAAAGTGGATATTCTTCAGGGTCTCCAAGCAATGAAAATCGATTTTTGGAAAATATTTTTTTTTCATTAAAATGAATTCTTGAAGGATTTTTAATTATTCTCTAAACAATTAAAGATGGGAGTTTAAGATTAATAAAATTTTTCTCCGGAATTAGAAATAATGTACTTCTTAAAAATTATTTTTTTCGAAGGCTAAAATTGTTTATACCAATTATATTGCCATGCATTAAAAAAAATGGGTTTTAAGAGAATAAAATGTGTAAGACTAATACTTGTGAATTCCAGGCACTGAAATTAGTGGACTGTGATTCTGCTAGAGCTACAAGACGTATTTATTTTTTTTATCAGAATTTTATGGCACAATTTTAAAAATTCCAATATTTTTTGTGTAAGTTCAAGATTTCAGAATATTGTGGATTTTTATTTTTTTAAAGATAAAAATCGAGGTCTGCAGAAATTAAATTTTCAAAAAAAAAAAAAAAAAAAAATCGATATCTGAAAATTTAATAAAAATCTAAGATCTCAACCATGGTTATTTTAAGAGCTCAAAACTGATAGTAAAAAATCGAGCAATAACTCTAGATCTCAAATTTGTAAATTATTAAAGTTATTTTATTCAAATTTGGAGTTCTTATTTTTTAATGGATTTTCTTTATTTTTCTTGAAATAGTTTTTTTTTTTTAATTTCAGTTGAGATCAGTGATCAGATCAGATTAGATTAGATCACAAAAAGTGACATCAACATCAAATTTCCGGATTTCATGACCATTCCTTCACCCAATACTAAATTTAGTACTAAAAGTGCAATTAAAGTACACATTCCAAAAAACAATCCATGTCTTATTTTCAGATTCAAACAGATTTCACAATAGTAGTACAATTCAGTACTTTTCGAATAATTGTAGTACATATTTCCAAAATCACCTCCATGTATTAACCACAGACAACAACAGAGACCTCAATTGCACATTTCAGGATTCCAGCCCTGTCCCTTCGCTCAATACCAAATTTAGTACCATTTAGTACTTTTGGTACATATATAGGACGCATTTCCAAACTGCCGCTAAATCTCAAACACAGGTACAACTAGTAATCTAAATATTAAATTTTAGAATTTTATTTGTATCCCTTCACCCTATACCAAATATAGTACCATTCAGTACTTTTCGTACAATTATAGTGCATTTTTCCAAAACCACCTCCATATGTCCGGGCTACATATGAACAGCGACCCTTATACCATATTACAGATTTCAAGCACTATCTGCTCACCACATTGTGCCAAATATAGTACTAATTAGTACTTTTTGAGCACATGTAGCACATATTTTTTATACCATTTTTTTTTTATTCGGGCCGGACTTTTAATACACTCCACAACGAGGTAATGAAAACCTTAAAAAAATAAAAGCAAAATTGAATTTAAAATTGAGTGTTTGTAAAATATTTTTGTTTTTAAAAATATAAAAAATCGGCCGGGCCGAACTTTGAATATCCTCCACCGCTTGGAATAAATTTGGCAATTTTCAAAAAAAAAAAAAAATAATAATAATAATAAATAAATAAAAATAAATAAATAAAATAATAATAATAAATTAAATCCGTTAAAAATTATGGACCTGCATCATCAAAATACCGAATATCGGGAGGTATCGCTATATGGGGGCTATACGAAGGCATGGACCTGCACGGACAATCTTCTGTCATAGGTTGTAGTATACATTACAAACTTCAAATATCAAATTTGAAAAAATTCCGGTGAATAATGTCGCTAAAATCATCAAATTACCGAATATTTGGAGGTACCGTTATATGGGAGGCTATACCAAAACGTAGACCTACATGACCCATTTTGAATACCAAAAGTCCTGCAGACATAATATATATTTAAGAAAAATTGGATCAATCTTCTTCATTTCGTTCGGAAGCTAAAGTGATTTCCACAGACGGACGGACATCGCTAAATCGACATGGAATTTTATGCTGATCAAAAATATATATCCATTTTGGGGTCTAAAATGTATATTTCGAGGTGTTACAAACGGAATGACAAGCTTAATATACCCTCCATACTACGGTGGAGGGTATAAAAATAAAACTAGTGTATTTCAAAAACTGAAAACCGTGGATATTCTAGGTATATTTATAACGTTGATTATTTTTAGTAATAAAGATTTTTTTAACTCAAAATATTGGAATTTTAATAATTATTTTTTCAAAGACTAGTAATCGTGAACTTTAAGATTTTTAAAAAATAATGTTCTAAAAACTCAATGTCATTTTTAAAAAATATTTTTTTATTTAATTCGATAATAGACCCATTTAAGGTTTTCAAAAACTTGAATTTTTTTAGATCATTTTTTTTTTTAATTTTTTTAGTTCAAAAACTCAAAATTACGGATTTTTAATATAAAATCTTCAACAAACTTTATCAAAATTAAAAAAAAAATAAATAAATAAAATCTGGGACTTTTGACCTGTTAATATTTGGTCTAGACCTAGAAGTTCTGTATATCCTTATATTTTTTTTTTCAAGGACTACAGACGTGGATTTATTTCAAGAATTTACAATTGTGGATTTTTAAACTGTTTTTGTTCATAACCTGTTTTTTTGAAGGGATTACACTTACAAAAATCAAACAATTCAATATATAAATAGGAATTATTTAAGTTATTTTTCAACAACTAAAATTTAAAAAAAATATTTTTTTTTTCATTTAGAGATTTTTCCAAGGACTGGAGATAACAGATTTTTAATAAAAATTTAATAAAGATTTTAAATTTATTCTAGTTTAGACTATTTTTCGAGAACTATTGTTTAAGTTTTTTTTAGATTTAGAATTTTATGAAGTGCAGACAATGCAGGATATGGACAATTGCAGACAATGCAGGATAATGAATTTCTTAGGAACATTTTTCGAAGACTATGACATGAATTTTCTAGGACTATTAGGAATACTATCATGAATATTGAAAAAATATTTAAGATCTACTATCTACTTCTAGGACTATTAGGAGTACTATCATGAATATTAAAAAAATATTTAAGATCTACCACAGTATTCTCCAGGATATCACAAATATATAAATTTCACAAATATTTTGTTATGGTTTTAATTTTTTTGTTTTTTTTTTTTTTTGGATTCCATTTGATTTTCTTCGAAGGCCTTTAAAATGACAACCATAGAGATTTGTAACTGAATTTTTCAAGAATAAAATAACAATATTTAGGAATTTTTAAGAATGTTCTTCAAAGAATATAAAGGTATTTTTCGTCGATTTTTAAGTATATCTTCCACTTTCATATCTACATTTTGGTCGGAAAGCTTCAATCAAAATGGCAACGTTGGCCCATAATAAAAACCGCCAAAAAATATGTGTGTCGCGTTGCCTTCCATTGTTATGTGAGGAAGGAAAGGAAAATCTGGTGAAAAGTGAATGAGATTGTCGGTTTATGGGAGCGGGTCGGTTGGCTGCGTGGTTCTTTGGGTTATTGGAGAATCTGTTTGCTCTGAGCAAACGTGTTGGAGCACTAGAGCATGGAGTAAAGCATTTATAGAGAAAATCGGATGAAGGAAAAACTTTCCTTCAATACCAGAGATATGCTGTTGTTGTTGTCTCTTTGTGGTTGTGATTTGATGATGTTGTTGTATTTTCTGGATGCGATGAGAGTAAAGTTTATGGATTTGAACGAACATAACAAAATGCTGGCTGGCTGAGTGTTCGTTTGGTTTGGTTGGGTTGCCTGTTGGTTGTGTGAATTTTGTTGTTGTAATTTGCCATTTTTTTTTTGGTTTTTGGTCGTATACCCGACCCGACGATGGCGTTTTGCGATGGCTATGACGACTACGACCACGTCGGCTCCATTGTATGGATGCTGTAGTAAAATCAACATTTTCAGTTTGCTGCTGAACGTTGTTTTCAAAAGAAGACCAGAAACGAACGAACGAAGAAGTCGTGCGACAAAATCCATTTTATTTTACAATTTTCCATTATCCCTAAAACGCCAGCAAAATCAAAATCCACAACATTTTCATGGAGCAGTTTTTTTGTTAAAGTGAAGTAAAAAAAAGAAAATCAAAGAAAAAATAAAACAAGAATTGCAAAAATTAAAACAAAATAAATTTTTGCGGGTCCCAAGAGCAACAAAAGCAAAAAAAAAAGGCAAGTGTTGGTGGCTATGTTGAAAACAAATTCCTAGGAAATTGCAACAAACGGGCTATCGGAAAAGTGGCTTAGAAAAAGGTAAATACACGCACGACTGAATATGTATAACTATTTTAAAGTACGGGAGTTTGACAAAAAAGTTCCGAAGAATTATTGAAAAAAAAAATCGTAAATAAAATTTTTCCTGGAAAAAAGTGCCAAACAAAAATTTGAAAAAAAAAACGCAAAGGAAAAATATTGCAAAAGGAAAAAAATGCGATTTGAAGAGTCCATTGAAGAGTGCCAAAAGGCCATGGTGTCAAAGTGTTTCATTGAGTGAGCGAGCGAGTGAGTGAGTGAATAAATGTGTACCATTTCATTACTTCAGCTGAAGAGCAAAAAGTTGTCCCCCTCTCGATTTCTTCGCGCAAGAAAAAGGAAAGTCAAAAAAGGCTGGCTGGGATGGCTGGCAGGCTGGTTCGTTGGGTTGGATTGCATGGTTTGTTGATTGAAGCCCAAAATCCCATTCATATACACTTTTAATAATCATATACAGTGCCGGAGGAGGTAGTGCTGATTTTTTTTTCTCCAACTTCTTCTTCGGTGGCGCTTTTGGGGTGCCTGCTGACGGAGAGTCACGATTGACCTACCACCCCCCACACACACGGTACTACTCCGTTTTATTGCCCTCTATCCACAACTCTCTATTACTACCAGCCTGGCTGGATGTTAAACCAAAGGTTGACTGGATAGATGGATGGATAGAAGTTGAAGTTGGATTGCTTGTTTGGTGTTACATTAACTGTGGTCCAAACAACCAACAAACCAACCGACCGACCGACCAACTGCCTCAGTGAGTGAGTAAGTGCCTGGCTAGGCCATCACCATCATCATAATATTCTACAATGGCTATGGCCAACAACAGCAACTACACAACAAAGCTGAAGAACTACCACAACACAAAATAACAACAACCAACAACCGATGACGATGTTGTTGTGACTCTGAATCTGACTCTGTTTGGGGACCATTGAGAAGAAGAAGTAGCCTTCTTCGCCTTCCTTCTCCGACGTTTTTTTTTTAGTCGCATGTTTTTAATGCTGACACTTCATTAATCGTAACCCAGTGGGTGAGAGATGAGATGATTTGATTGTATGTATGCCTATGTGTCTCTCTGTCTGTCTCTAATGTTTGTATGTCGTTCCGTCGTTTGTTTGTTTGTTTATATATCTCTGTTCATTTGCCTAGTTTGCTCCATAAAAATTTACAATACATGAGAGTGTGTTAGGCTGTGTGTGTGTGGTGGCATAAAATGATTTGCAAAACAAAAAAAATAATAATATAATTTTACACACACAGAGAGATGCCAACACACACATACATGTGGAGAAGAGGAACCTCTTAACAACTTCTCACACAACACAATTTGTATTTCATTCGTAGTTTTTTTTTTTTGTTTCTGGCCAACTTCATAGTTGATGACTTTCTTCCTCTCGTTTAGATTGTTTTCGGACAACATCATTGGCATTTCGAGCATTAGTTACAGTCGAACTTGGTTGGAATGAATTTGTTGGCCGCGATAATTGTTTTAGTTTGGCTCAAATTACAATATTTATATGGGGATAAAGAGATGATGAGTTGGAGTTTTTTTTTTGTGAATTAAATTGAAACATTTTATTGAAGCTATCTTTTGAAATATGACCTATTCAATTTCAATACCCGGTGGTTTATTATACACTTTACCATGCTATGGAGGGTATATTAACTCTGTTATTCCGTTTATACTCATGTCAAACCCAACAAAGTATATAAATTCTTAATCAGCGTAAAATTCCAACCATCTGTCTGTCTATTGTAATCATGATATCTTTCGAACAAAATGAAATAAAATCGTACACAGATGTGTATTTTAGCGATATTTTTACCGGGATTATTTCAAATTTCGTATTTAAAATTCACAATACGTTCTACAGCCTATGACAAAAAAACACGTATGTAGGTCCATGTCTTAGTATAGCCTCCATATAACCATACCTCCCGATATTCGGCATTTTGATCATTTTAGCGGTATTATTCACCAAAGTTGTTTTAAACTCCGTAATTGAAGTTCGTTTATGAAGGAATACGTCTTCGTAAAGCCGCCATTTACGGATTATCATTTGAGAGGTTTTTTACGATGAATTTTTTTTTAAATATTTTAAGTTCTTTCAAAAGAGTAGTAATAGTATTAAAAGTTCGGCTCGACCGAAATTGGCTGCTTTTTTACTTGTGTTTGGATGAAAAACAATAAAATATAAAAATTCAGATGTTGGGAAATTTATTTAAATTGACGATGCGAATTTTCAGGGAACGGTTGAAAAGTAATATTTATAAAATTTCATTTTTAATTAAAAAAATATATATATGACCTCAATAAATATTTCTGCTTCAATATAAACTGTTTCGGACTAAAGAAAATTTGGGCTATAAAAACAAGCAATTTTCGTATATTTAATTATATTTTGACTTGGCACGAAAGAATTGTATTGATACATCCTATCTTCACACCAGATCTTTTGTCAATGGAAATATTGGGATGTGTGAAATGTGATGAGAATCAGTTGCTCCTTTCACATTTTATGAGATATATATTTATTCAAAAGAGTTACCAGAATATGTGGACCGTTATAACCCATATTCACATCAGATCTTTTGCCAATAAAAATATTGAGATGTGTGAAATTTGAGGAGAATCGGGTGCTTATTTCGCATTTCAAGAAATTGAAATATTCAAAACTTTGACCCCTTATAAATTTTCACGCCAGATCTTTTGCCAATCAAAATATTGGGATGAGCGACAAAAGACAATCGGATGCTTATTTCCTATTTTATTAAATTTATTATTATTCAATATTTGATACGGAAACCCCTAGACCTACTCCAAACGTCCTAAAACGGATTTGGTCCAAAGAGACCTAGGGTCTAAGCCGTTTTTTCGATGAGTCACGTTTTGGCCGTATCAAATTATATATTCTCTCTGTAGCAACGTGGCAGAGTGTATAAAAAATTGTAGATTTCTGAAATATTCTAAATAGCTTAAATTATTTTTTTTTGTTGCAAAATAGTCATTGTTTTTATTGTTTTTTTTTTTTTTTTTTTTTAACGAAGTCCTTTTATTTATTCTTTACAAGGATGTGAGGCAGATATTCCATGGTTTCGGAGGAGCCAACAATCCTTATCAGTTCATTTGGTTTTTGTCCTATATATTTGGTTACACTGTGCAAAAACAAAAAAATAAATAAAGGAAAAATGAAGCAGAACGTATATACGTATATACGCACTGTGAAGTTACCTATATAGAGTGGCCATGTTTCCCTCACTTAAATATATTTCGGATAATGATTCTTTGGAATCGTTGTATCTTAGGTATATAGTGTCTTTGACAATATTACTGATAGCAATAACAGAATTATTTTGGTTGCAATTTTATACCCTTCACCATACTATGGAGGGTACATTAAATTTGTCATTCCGTTTGTAACTCCTCGAAATACTCATGTCACACCCAACAAAGTATGTATATTCTTGATCCGCGTAAAATTCTAAATCGATTTAGTGATGTCCGTCTGCCTGTCTGTCTGTCCGTCTGTCTTTCGAACGAATTGATATAGAAGGCTAAAATTTTGCACACATGTTTATTTTGCCAGAAGGTAGGTAAGTTCGTAAATTGGCCATGTAGGTCCACGTTTTCATATAGCCCCCATATAACGGTACATCTAGATATTCGGTATTTTGACGATTTTTGGAATTGTTTTAAATTTGGCATTTGAAGTTCTTAATGGATACTACAGCCTATGACAGAAAATTGTCTGTGCAGGTCTACGTCTTCATATAGTCCCCATATAACGATACCTCCCAATATTCGGTATTTTGATGATTTTAGCGTCATTATTCACCGGAGTAGTTTCAAATTACGTATTTAGAGTTCGTAATGGGAACTACAGTCTGTGACAGAAAATTGTCTATGCAGGTCCAGGTCTTCGAATAGGCCCCATATATCCCTTCCCTATATTCGGTATTTTGACGATTTTAGGTACAATACTTACCGAAATTGTTGGAGATGTCACACTTGATGTTCGTAATGAATGCTACAGCCTGTGACAGAAAATTTTCTATGCAGGGCCAGGTCTTCATATAGCTCCGATATAACAGTACCTCCCTATATACGGCATTTTGATGATTTTAGCTACATTATTTACCTTTTATTTTAAATTTCGAATTTGAATATGGTAATGGCTTATGACAAACAAAGCCTATGTAGGTCCACGTCGTATAGACCCTTATATAAGGGCTATATTCGGTATTTTTAAGATTTTAACAGCATTTTTTATGGATTTTTTTTTTTTACTTTCCAAATTTGTTTCAAATGGTGGAGGGGTTCGGCCTCGACGAACTTACTGCTTTTTTATAGAATGATTTAAACAAATCTACAATTATTTTCGAGCATATCCATTCTTGGTTCGAAAGTTTCTTAACAAGTATTTTATAATTTTTTACAGACGAGAAATTCGTGAAGATTATTTTAATAAATTCGCAATTTTGTTGTTGCAAAATAGGTAGGCTTAATCCCGTTATTGTTGTTTTTATAAAAACAACGTTTGTTTATTAGTGGAGAGTGAGTGAGAAAGAGTAGTGTAGCAATGTTTACCAGGAAAATATTTGATACCAATTAAAAAAGATTGTGGCATTAATGTTGCTAAGCAATACTTAATGTTGCTAAGCAATAAAATTTTAAAAATTCAAAATATTTTCAAATAGATCAACTATTGTTGGCCAGAATACTCAACATTTCCCTATTTCTATTACATTTCGCATAGTGAGATTTGTTGATAACTTTAAGAAATCTTGCTTTTTTAATATCATTCAACTTTTTTTGCAATTAATCCGGAAAATACTTTTCTCCATATAACTTAGGTTTGGGAAAATCAGGGATTAATTTCATCCCGTATCAATTTTTTAAAATTTTCATCGCCTGTGGAATGTGTGTCCATATATTTAATTTTAATTCCCAAATAAAAATAATCAAAATAATAAATAAGAATAAAAAATAAAAAAAAAAT